TAAAAGAATCATCTCCAAGTGCACAACATGCAGAAAAATCCAAGGACCACCATTTCGATCTGTACCTACACCACCTCTACCCAAACCGAGAGTTCTACAATCACAGGCCTTTCAATTTACTGGCATCGATTACGCAGGTCCTCTTTATGTTCGCGACCAAGGAAATCGAACTTCATCCAAAGTTTACGTTTGTCTGTTCACTTGTGCCGCAATACGAGCCGTACACCTCGAGTTAGTAGAAGATCAGACAACCCAAGCCTTTCTTAAGGCATTCAGAAGATTTATCAGTCGACGTGGAGTTCCCGAATGTATCATTTCTGACAACGCAAAAACCTTTAAAGCTGGAGCTCAAGAACTCCAAACGATGAAAAATCAGGTCGTCAAGCCAGATGCATCACAACAGTTCCTCGCCAACCATAACATAACATGGAAGTTCCTAACAGAACGAGCCCCGTGGTGGGGAGGATTCTACGAAAGACTTGTTGGACTAGTAAAAAGATGTCTCAAAAAAACTATAGGCAAAGCCTGTCTAAACATTATTGAACTTAACACAATACTCATTGAGGTTGAGGCAGTGTTAAACAGCCGTCCCTTGACATACCCTTACGTGGATATTAACGATGCCTCTCCTTTGACCCCTTTGACATTTCTTATGTGGACACCGTCTTCTGGCATTACCAGACACAAGAGTTAGCGTCCAAGAATCAGATTCAGACTATATTCTGCCTGATGTTTCTACAAAAGAGCTAACAAAGAGAGCAAAATATCATGAGAAAACGATACAGGCTTTCTGGACACGTTGGCAAAAGGAGTATCTAACAAGTCTACGTGAATATAACGCTCATCAAAGGAAAGTGTCAAACAACACCACAGTTTCTATAGGAGACGTTGTTCTCATACATGATAATATGCCACGTAATCAGTGGAAAATAGGTGTCGTTACTGATTTACATAAAGGGAAAGACGGATTAGTCAGATCTGTATCTTTAAGAATAAGTTCTGGTAATACACTGGTAAGACCTATAGAGAAACTTTACCCATTGGAGGTATCCAGCGAGAACAATACACAAAGTATTGAAAAGGAAGACAAAGAAGCTATAACCGATAAACAACGCCCCCCAGTACGACTTGCCGCTCAGAAAGCAATTCACAGAATCCGGGAACAATCAAAGGAATACTTGACCTGAAAGATATTTATTACGAAACTATTCTTAAATATTTCAGGTGGAGGTGCAGTTCATGGACTGATACATCAAGACCTTCGATTGTGTCGCCTGGGAGTGGGTTAATTCGAGACAGCGTGTCAGCCAGTGGAACGTTCTTTCCTGGAACATACTTAATTTCCACATCATACTTTTGAATCCTAAGCATCATTCTTGCGATGCGTGGCGGAGAGGACGAGAGATGTTTCTTGAAAATCGCCTCTAACGGCTTATGGTCTGTCTCCACAGTGACATGTCGGCCATATGCATAGTAGTGAAACTTCTCAAGGCCATGTACAATAGCAAGCATTTCTCTTTCAATGTTTGAATAACGGGTTTCAGTTTCAGTTAGAAGCTTGCTTCTGTATTCAATAGGGCCTTTGTCCTGAAAGAGAGTCGCACCAAGACCATGCGTGGATGCATCAACTTGGATGGTGACTGGTTTCGTACTGTCGAAGTACTGGAGTGAGCTGGTAGAAGTGACTGCCTCCTTGACCTTGTCGACGGCTGACTGGTGTTCTGGGCCCCACTGGAATTCGCTGCTCCTCTTTGTCAGATCCCAGAGGTTAGCTGATAGGGAGGCTAGGTTGGGTACAAAACGACTGAGAAACTGTACCATGCCGAGAAAGGTTTGTAGGTCAGCAAGGCTCGCTGAAGGATCCATGTTAAGGATCACTTCCGTCTTCTGTGGGTCTGGTCTGAGACCGCTGTCGCTGATAATATTTCCAAAGAAGGGTATTTCAGTACACCTTATCTTGCACTTGTCTGGGTTGAAGCGGAGGCCAGTTTCGCGTGCTCGTTCCATGACAGCTCTCAGGTTAGCGTCATGGTCACTCTGGTCACGCCCATAGATAACTATGTCGTCGGCAATACCTGTGACACCAGGGAGATCACCGAATGCCTCGTCAACCTTCTTTTGAAAGATGTCCTGGGCACAGATGAGGCCGAACGGGAGCCTCAAGAATCTGTATCGCCCATGAGGTGAGTTGAAGGTGGTGTACAAGGAGCTCTCGTGGTCGAGTTGGATGTTCCAGTAGCCGCTGCGGGCGTCAACAATAGAGAAGTATTTGGCGTCACTTAACCTTGGTAAGACCTCATCGAGTGTTGGGGTGCGGTGGTGTGGTCACTTGATGGCACGGTGGAGGTCCTTGGGGTCGAGACACAGCCGAAGTGTGCCGTTGCTCTTTGTAACGCAGACCAATGAATTAACCCAGTCAGTGGGTTCGTCCACTTTGATAATGATGCCTTGCTGGACAAGGGCATCAAGTTCCTTTTTAAGTGGTTCACGTAGTGCCTCGGGTACTCTCCGTGGGGGGTGGATGACTGGTGGAACTGTAGGATCCAGAGTAATGTGAAACTCCCCCGGAAAACAGCCAACGCCCTTAAAGCAGTCTTCATACTGGATGAGTAGCTCCTTCTTTGCATCTGCATCGCAAGAGGGTTTTGGTGTGGGCTTTGTTGCCCCTGGCGAGGTGGCAGTGGTGAGGCTGTAGTTGAGGGTGACGAGTTTCATATCTCTACAGGTAGGGAGACCCAGGATCGTTGGCCCAGTTGTGTTCACCACGTGGAAAGGGTACGGCTTGGAGTGTCCGTTGTGTGATAAGTTAAGTTCGCAAGTTCCATAGTGCTGTATAGTGTGACCACCGAAAGCGGTAATTGTTGTGTTAGAAGGACACAAACCGAGAGGTGCGCCATCTGGGCTGTACGCTGACTGTGGATACAGCTGTTTATATGTGTTGACAGGAATGACATTTCCCTCGGCTCCTGTGTCGATTTTGCACAGTAAGGGCATAGTGCTCTGACCTGCGTCCACTTCTATCTGTAACAAGGCTTGAGTGTCCCTTTCGACAACACTGTCTATATACAAGGAGTGGAAATACAGTTGCGGGGTATCCAGCGTGTGTGGAATATCGATACTCTGTACTGTTGGACAGTCGGTGTTGGGCTCTGTGGTGTCTATGGCTTGTACAACTTGTGGTCTGTGCTGTTTATCCCTGTTCCATATGCTGGGCACGATCTACGGGGTGGATCGTGGAAGGTGCCACAATTTCCACACCTTTCGCCTTGGGTGCCCTGTGCTGGTGGTGTGTTCATGTGTTGCGTGTTTCGGCCATGTTGCAGAGCATCGACTGTGGTGATTTGGCTACCTCTGATGTCCTGTAATTGATTACTCGTGGCTTCCTGGGTTCTTGCGATGCTCACTGCTTTGTTAAGTGTCAGACTGGCATCATACTCGAGGAGTTTTGACTGAACGCGCGGATTGTTCGATCCGAAGATAAGAGCGTCGATAATATGTTCATCGGGGTTTGTGAACTTGCACTCGTTTACAAAAATCCGTACTTTCTTTAGGAATGAATCGACTGATTCGCCAGCTTCCTGCTTCAGGGTGCGGAGTTTGTAGCGTGCAAGCCTGAAGTTGCTTCTCGGCGCCACGAAGTCCTCGAACTTTTCCCAGTATGTGCTGAGTTTTTTCTTTTCGTCGGTTGTTAGCGACCACGTGGAAACCAGTTCGATTCCTTCTTCGCCTGACCATATTAAGAGGTAGCTGACTTGCTCTTCCTCGCTTTTGCCCTTTAGCGGACCAGCGAAATAAAGCTGACAGAGGCTTTTGAACTTCTTAAGGGCTTGCGGCGCGTCGGTTGAAGACCAGTCCATTCGGGGAATCGGTAGTCCGGCGAGCGCTGCCATGATATCTGCTTGCAACGTAGCGTTTCGAGGCGAACGAGTGGAATGAAGAACAAGGACGAACGGTGGGTAAACGTTGAACGAAGACAAGGAACCGACTTGGTTTCTGGATTCGTTATCCCACTCCTGACACCATGTTGTACAACAACAGTGTGTATTCTTGATCTTTCTAAGACCTTAATGTATGATTTTCTCTACAAGAGAAAAGAGAGGAAGCAAAAGGAATCAAGGAAAATGTTGTTAAAAAGAACATCAAACATAAAGACTATAAAAATGTATTATCAATTAACAAACAATTGTATCATGAAATGAAAGCAATAAGAAGTCAAAATCATCAGATTGGAAGTTATGAAATGAAAAAAATATCATGCTTGCCAATAAGTGTCATATTCTTTAAGACAGAATGACACGTTATGCTTACGGTCAGTACAAAATCTGAAAAGATGTGATGTCACGACGCAGCTGTGGCCATGGTGGTGATGCATTAACCTTTCTTTACTTTTTGAGTTATTAAATATTGGTTAAATGGAGAAGATGTCATCTATCTTTATTTCAGGATTCCAAAAGTGTCTAGGTAAAATCAAACACACTTTAAATTTTAAAAAATATATAGTTTATATCAAAATTATGCATCTAGTATATGAAGCCAGTATATTAAGCTGGTAAATGAAACCAGTAAATGAATTCAGTATATGGAAAGTAGTATGAAGTTGGCTTGTTACGAGATCAGTTTTGAAAAACTGATTTGGTACCGCCAACTCCTTTTATACTGTGGCTCACATCTATCCTCGTACGTTTAGAGGCTGAAATGCCTTTGAGCCTTAAAAACATTTTAGTGGAATCATTTAATAGTATGACTAGTCGAAAGTGAAATTTCAATGCGACTGTTTACATCCCGGACACACTTATACAAATCTTAAACCAGCCCCGGCTCAGCACATTGTTTCGTTCTGCCATATGCAAACTACAGGTACAAAATACTACATTTAATAGCGTCTAAATCGCACAATAAGAGATTGTTTTCTTCTGTTTACTTGTTGTCTTTCCTTGCTTGTTTGGTATTTCTTTGTGTTGGTGCGCAACTAGGTACTCTTGTGAAATTGTGTCTTGCAGGCTGTCACAGTGATCAAAAGAAAGCCCAATGATTTGAAAGTGAAACCATATGTCAGTGGACTTTTAGAGCAACTGCAGTTGCAGGATAGCAATTGGAACAAGAAGGTAAAACATAAACTGATTTTATTGCTGTTATTTTCAATGAAGAAAAATTGAACGCAGACTTCGGTAGTATGGGGTAATAAATACCGCTTTACTGTTAAAGGTAATCAAATGATTTATCCTGCTCTCTTTTGTCGCGTTTATTTTCGTGTCATGGCTCACTGGTGTCGCCTACATTAACATTATTGCAATTTTGGAAAACTTAAAGACCAAAAATATCTTACCACTGAACAAACGTCAAGTTCTTGTAGCATGTATCGTTCAAAGCTTTTTCATTTTGTGGATCTTTAAGAGAAAAGAGGTTTGAAAAGACAGTCAAAACATGTTTATTTTATGAACTCAACTTGTCAATGTTTGAAGTTGGTTCTTGTTGAAACGAAATTGATCAACATGTTTAAAACTTGAAGCTTTTCGAAGTATGAGTCACTTAGAAATACTCTTCTTCTCGTACGATGTAACTGGCTGTGGCTTTTCAGAAGCTGCTGTTTCTCATGTTAAAAGTGAATCGAACGAAGTGAAGCTGTTTTCTCGGGTTAGCTGGTTGTCGATGTTTCTAGTTAGGCTGATGTGCGCTGTTCTGTTTCATCTCCTTCTCCATAATCATCCAATGACTTGTTTCTGTGGACCGTTACTTTAAAATTGAACATCGCTTTAGACCAGCTGTCTTCAAAATCTCTACAACAGTTTTTTTCGGAGATATCAATCAGACTGAACTGTGTGTGATCTTGTGTTTATTCCAGTTAGTCAAGACTTCTTTATCTCATTAGTGACTTACATAATGAACACTAATTATACGTACATAATTAGCCGTTAATGTACTGATTTCATTACACCTTTCCAGTCGATGTGGTTGAGTGTTCAGTGAATCCTCTAGGGTCGTCCCTTTGATGACGGACTTCATCATGTGGTTGATTTGTTTACTCCTATGGGCTGCTGCCCTCACCAAACTTAACATACAAGACGGATAAAGTGGACCGGTTGTGCGCATTTCGGGAGGACTACTCCTCTTTAAAAATTATGATGGGACACCTCTCGTCTCGAGAAGGAAGCTTCTACGCTTCGGGAACAGTCTGGACCGGCGTGTTTTTTTGGGGGTTATTGATGACTTTGACGTAGTGTTGTTTTCATCCAATCCAAAGGAGAAATCCTCAGCCGTCATAGAGTGGTGTTTCTGCCGACCTCGAAGACCAAAATATTGGGTCACGGACCACCAGTGTTTGGACGAGTGTTTACAGACTTCCCTTTCCCGGCTTCTTTTTTTCTCACTCTTAGTCAGGAATAATTGAGTGTTTGCACTCCTTTTCTGTGAGGTATCGGTCAATTTCAGGAACTACGACACGAAGGCTATTAGGCTTGTAATCTTCCCCGTCTTTTTTACGAACTTTTGTGTAAAACGCCTCGAGAATTTTATCAAGGGCCTCCAGTTCGTGCTTTTTGATACTTTTCGTATAGCCGTTTTTTGAAACCCCAGACTTTTAGCCAGTTGCTTTTACTTTGTTGAGTTTTCTTAATTATTCATCAAACTTTTGTTTTAAAACGTTACTTTCTCGTAATCTGTCCGCCGTTTTGTTTTACTCTCGCAACTCTCCTGTCAAGCGATTTGATTTCAACTTTCTGCTCTCAATTTCAACTTTATTTGCACTCATTTTCACTTTTTTGCACCGTTTGGGATCAATTGATGTGCTCTCAACTAATGTGCATACTGACGTTTTTGCGTGCTTATTAATAGATGGTTTGATGTTTAATATGGGAAGATATTTTGTTCCTCTGCTTGCCGGTCATGTACAAGATTCAAGGCTCAGGTTCCTCTCAAAAACCAGCATACCTAGCTCCGTCAACTTATTCCTTACTGCTTTGAAAACTGATTTACTAACAATCCAGTCACTGATGTGACCACACTTCTGCAGCATTGAATTTCCACATCCACAGCAGATGCTTTCTCAATTTTCGAATCGGTAAGATTGTTAGGGCTGCATTATCTGCAACATATCTAATGAATTCTTCTGCCGTACTCACTTAATTGAGCGTGACTATATTCTGTGGACCCGGTAAATACCTGACAGTAATGTCATAGAGTCGAAGGTCAATCCCCACAGAGGGGTACAATTTACTTGAGTAGATCACTTCTAAAGGCTTATAGTCAATTCAAGCTTAAAATGTTTCCACCTCACAGGCCAAACAAGCGCCAGTGCTTTCCTCTCTGTCTGGGGATATCTTCTTTCATGTGGTGTTAGACTTCGACTTGCACGATAACTTGCCTGAAAATGCCAGCATGCTCTTGAGCCAGAATAGCTCCTAATTCAATTGGACTACCATCAGCCATTGGGTCAATACCACGTGTAGACAGTGGGTATCCCATGAACTCTACCTGTGAGATTTTGTACTTACACTTCTAAATATTCATGTAAAGCCTCTTGTTTTGCAATCGCTCGAGCAACAGTTATGAATGATTTGACCTGTATTGAGACAAATTGACAAATGAAGACTTCTAGCTGCCGTCAGCTAATGTATAATAAGGTACCAAAACGTTTACTCACCTTGCCAACGTGTAAAATGGTCGACAAACAGGAACTGATCTTGCCAACTTGCCAAGGGGCACGTCAAAGAACCATTTGGACTGAGAACTACCAAACCACAAACTGCAAAGTGCAAAACGAAAGTCAAAACATGTGTGATTCCTTAGGGAAAATTTCGCGTGACCGGTTATAAGGAAACCAGAAACGAAACGGTCGCCACAAGACTGTAATGCTCACTTTCCGACTCTTACTTGGTGTAGAAGACATAGTATACGTCACACTATTGTTTTCATTGCTTTCGTATTCCCGGTTGTGATGAAACTTTATTGTGATGTATATTGTGTCTTCTACACCAAGTAAAAGCCTTTCCCTTGTGAAACTCGCGGGTGCACTTCATTATTCTTGTGATGTCAAAAATTTTGCCAGTGGTTTAATGTTTATGATTCAAGGTACTGAAGCAGCAGGAGAAGTTGCTTGAGTGTCAGCAGGAATGGATGTCAAAAATTTTACCACTAGATATGGATTTGGGTAGGACTGTTTGTAATGTTGTAATTATTGCTAATAGAGTCAAATGTTGTTCATAATCAGTTTTGCACGGAAAATGTTTCTTTTTAAAGCCCTTTGATAGTTGTGTTCGTCAAAATTGGCCATGATGGAACCTACCTAAATAGGAAGCGCTGGCCCAAGCCATATTTTGATTTTTTGCATTGAAGAGGGTCAATCAGCTAGTCATTTGCTGTCCTTTGCACATTGCTGGACCGCTTATTTAGTAGGTATTTGAGAGATTGCTTCAGTGATTACCACATGGTGTAGACAGGCTGACAATGTATTAATTTGGCCGAGGGAAATTAGTTTGAGCGGCACAATTCAAGTTAAATTGAAAAACATTCACTGTCTCCTCCAGGACTTGCAAACTGGTATTATTAACGTAGCCCAAGATTGGAAAGCTGCAACTCGTTCCACCGCATGAAAGAAACGGTTCCCTCATGAGCTCAATTATGACAATTGTAGCTTAGGAAAAAACAAAACAACCCAAAACCAAATATTGTCTTCGTAACTTTAATCTGCAAGAACCACCTTATGCAGACTGCAAGGATTGGCTATAGTTTATTACTGTTATGATAGCTCAAGGAAGGTAATTTTCCTACTTAAGCTCCAAGTGTTTGTCATTGCTCAGTCATCTCTTTTTTTCTCTTGTTTTGCTTGTTCTCTTCTGGTGCTGTTTATTGCTTAAACAGTAACAGGAGAAAAAAGAGAGTTGCTCAATTCTTTTCATTTTCAAGACATGAACGTGGGACTTGTAACGTAGAGTCAAGTGCTTGCACCACTTGGCCATATTCCCCCTACATTACTTATTACTTTACATTACTACTACTACATTACTGTATCTTGCATTGTCTAATTTTAGTTGCAGATGCAGATATAGCAACATTCAGAGAAGAATGCGTTTCCTTGAGCAAATTCCAAACGCATGAAAGATACATGTATATGATGAAGAACGGTATGATAATAGATTAATAATCATGACAACATAGTGAAGTGGTACCATTCTATGGCTGTAACATTCGGATTCTGTTATCTTACTATGCCATTTCCAGCATTTGTGTATTTCCCTTGAGTGGTGAACAACAATTAACTGTCAGAGATGATTAAAAGCAACCTATAAACCACTTCATTTGTTTGTTAGCAATTTGAAATCTGCAAAACTTTTTGTTGAGTGTCACATCTATCTTTTTCGTATTGAATAGTTATTTTGCAGCGCAAGAGTGTAGAAAATCCTTCTTGGTCACTAAAGGAAGAATCCATTCTTTTGTGGAACACTCTTCTCGGTACGATTGAATGTGAGTGTAGCTGAAGCGTTGTTTCTGTGTCTTGAATACAATATGACTTTAACCATTATTCCTGACATGTGTCACAAGTTTCATCATGTCATGTAATAACTAGTCCTTGTATAAACATTCTTGATGACTTGCACAATTTTTTGGAAACCACTGGAATAAGCAATTTAGAGGCTCACATTTAAGTTCTTGAATTATCAAATCTAAGCGCGAGCATGCGACATGAACGTACAGAGTTCATTGATGTAACATTTCCCCTTTTTGGGATGAGATACAGCATCCAATCTTAGCAAAATGATAAATCTAATATCGTTTCAGAGGCCACCACAAAAAAAAACAAAAGCAAATTTAAAACATGAGAAACTATAAGTCTTGTCTGTTCTCGGAACTAGTGTCCAAATGTTCAGAAAAGTTCAGTGCTGTCGTTTAGCTTGAGATAGGTTTTTAATAAGTCTCTTGAGCTTTGACCAGAAACAAGAAGATAGCGTTGTCTTCAAAGGAGTTAAAACTTTGGTCGTTGCTGGCTAACCCGAGGAGTGTTTGTCGTGCTGGGTTATATTAGCGTATTGGTACACGGTGGTGTTGAGCAAACCTTCGGCGTCTCTGGTGTTGCGTTCGAGGCAACATAGCAAATAGTGTACGGGATTTCAGGGGATTCCATTCAATCAGTATATGAGTTAAATATGTTAAAATTTGACGTTTTTTTTTACGCCAGGAACTTGCATAGTCTTGCAAAAGTGTTTTAATACAAGTCACTCTGCTTTTATCAGAAATCCAACATCTAACATTCTTAGTCCGTCTTTTTAATGGAGGATATTAATGCATCACGCTTGACTTTATCTTTCCCATTCAAAATGAAACTATAAAGAGTAGCTTTAGCCTCTTTAATCAGATCCTAAGAAATCAGTTTAACAGCTGATTTATAAAAGATTTTAAGGATTTCAAATTTTTTAACTTTTTGAATTCTTCCTGATAATGAAAGGCCTCTCCATTTCCATGTATTTATAGATTTTGAGGATGTTATAAGCTTGTTAAACGTTTGTGAAGAGGGATAAAACATTATTTTCCTACCATATATAGAGGGTGATTAATTGCTTTGAATCAGCAGTGAAATTTGTCGAAAACGTGGTACCGATTGTAAACGAGTGCAAAGGAGAGTTGACTGAGGTTGCTGGAAATTTAAGGGTTTTGTTCAACAGTTGGTGCCGAAAATTGACAGAACTGGGACTAAGGAATACTCCAAACTGTGCTAACCTAGAAGTGTATCTGCCGTTTGAGATGGGCAACGGTGGTTTCTAGCAGAGCCTATTCAGTGCCTGGCCCTAACAGTTTGTGACATATTGACGGCCATCACAGTTTGATTACGTTTGGTTTTGTTATACATAGTTGTATAGATGGCTACTCTCGTTAAGTTGTTTGTGAGTGTTCTACAAACAACAGAAGAGAGACCGTTGAAGGTCTTTTTATGCAGGGTGTTGAAAAGTATCGGTGGCCTTCTAGAATACGAACTGACCATGTAGGAGAAACGTGTTGGTGTTGGAACGCATGATTGCATTTCGAGGCCATGATCGTGGTTCTGCACTTCTAGAAACTTCCACTCCTAACCAGAGAATAAAGCATTTATGGCGAGACGTGTTTCGATAGTAAGTAGGTAAACTCTTTATTTAAAGAGTGTAGCGCTTAATAGCCAAAAGGGTAATAAACTTGTAGCCCTCATACAATACATACAATAATACTAAAACAAATATAGATATCAATAAGTAAAAATGAATACATTATAATAGAAATAAAAGAACAGCTAAAAAATAAAAATCCTATAATAAAATCTAAAATAAAGAAGATCTCAAGGATTAAATGACAGAGTCAGGAAACCATAAAAAGGAACTTATTAAACTATAAAATGATTCGAACTCTGTTGGTTTGTGAGAAAAAAATTTGCCTCAAGGCCTTTTTAAAACTTTGTACTGATGTCTTTTGTCGTAAGTTGATGGGTAAACTGTTCCATAGTTCACATGTGGTAACAATGAAAGTTTTACCGCCATCTAATTTACGTTTAAACTTTGGGTATACCAAGTTATATTTTGTATACCTAGTATTACGAGAGCGAAGATCACTATTACGTGTTTAAAGGCAAGTAATATACTCAGGCGATTCTCCCCGTAGTCTCTTAAATGCGATTAGACATTTGAAAATTTTAGCCCCCTCGTAAAAAGGTAACCAAGTTAATGATAAAATAATCTGGCAGAAGAGGCCTTAGAATTAGCATCCATAATAAGCTACACATTTCGGTTATTTCAGCACTCTACCTAACAGGTCGTTTTTACCATTGGTCCAAACAACAGCTACATAATTCAATACGGGTCTTATCATGCTTTCACAATATAAACGTCGTTGCTTCATGGGAAAGTATACTCCGAATTTTCTTAATATGCCGATGCTTTGAGAAAATATTTTAGAAACATTTTCTACATGAGAAGAGCAAGACAGTGCGCTATCAAGTTTTAAACCTAGCAAGTTGGCATTTGGGACATAATTATGTGAACTCATGCTGTTAAATAACACGTTTCTGTCCATCTTCGAGCTGAGAAGTTTGCCGGTATCAATTAACGTTTTCGTTTTGTCTATGTTACGAGGTAGCTTGTTGGTTATTGGCCCATTTGGTGACCCCAGATACAGATGTATTCAGCAAATCGTGGAACTTTGCGGTGTCTTTATAGTTAGCAAATGATTTTAAATTGGTATCGTCTGGAATAGATCTGTTTGAGAAGATAAAACGTAGAAGCAAGTCGTTGGTAAAAAGAATGAACAGCAACTGGCCCAGAATACTTCCCTGAGGGACGCCATGCTCCATCACAACAGATTCAGAGTCACTCCCAACAATAGAGACAACTTGTTGCTTATTCATTAAATCGGATTGGAACCACGATAACGGGATATTAGCCACACCATAAGCCCCGAGCTTCATAAGCAGGATTTGATGCTCTACCATGTCGAAGGCCTTTCGAAAATCTTTTTTTTTAATTTGAAATAGCGTGGAAATTGTTCACAATTCCCACAAGTTTTTGTTTGTTCACATCAGATGGTTACCACTAGGCTGGCTTGGCTTGCAAATAGCGAAGAGCTAATCGCGGCAAGCCAGACAGTTGACAAATAATTTTACACAATTTTATACAATAAATATTCACATACAATTACAACATGTAGACATTAATCTTCGTGCTTACAAACACTAGGTATTAGGATAATATGTAAAGAGGAAAACTAAAGACTAAACATAATTACAGTTAGTAATTAATCTTTCATCTTATTAATTAGAGTATCTATGTCGACATAGGAGTTTTCAGTTTCTAGAATTTCGATTAATTTTGTTCTAATGGATTTGTTAAAAGAGTTCTTGGATGAGTTTTTGAGACTAGTTGGTATCCAATTCCAGATTTTAAGGCCAACACGTGAAAAGGCCTTACTTTGAACATCAAGTGCAGAATTTTTTGGTATAAAAATGCTCAAACGTTGATATGCGTGTGCTGTAAGAGTGAACGCTGGTAATTCTAGAGAACAAATTCGAAATATTAATCGGTGCAGAACTAGTTTTGATGTCGTACATTAAATTAGCAATTTTTTTCATAATATTGGAATTCTAGCGGTAGAAGCTTTGCTTTCAAGAAAAGGGGTATTGCATGCTCCCTTACTGGAGCAAAGTGAATAAGACGGAGTACACGTTTTTGAAGAATATTATTTAACAAGATCTTAGATGCAGCTCCCCAAGAGGTTAATCCATACGTTATATAAGCTGCAATGAGGGACTTATAACTTCGCAATTAGACCCACAGTTTTTTACTTATTTTTGTTGTAAGAGTATGGATATGGTTTTTCCAACTTAGATTTTCATCAATAACCCAAGATATTTGATGCAATTCTTACGTTCAAGGGTAACATTCTTAGTTTCTTCATTGTCAAAAATATTAACTTGTGACAGGTAATTAAGTCTTCTTCGGTATGGGCGGAAAATAACAAAGTTTGATTTCTTTCTATTAAGTGTAAGTTTATTTGCGGTTAGCCAATTGAATAGGTTGTTCAATTCAATATTTACAATTAATTCCTATGTCTTGAGATTTTCGTGAGAGTATAGGACATTAGTATCATCTGCAAAAAGAAAAAATTTAAGTTTCCTGGAGCAATACTGAATATCACCGACATATAGCAAAAAGAGGAGCGGCCCTAAAACGGACCCTTGGGGTACACCACAGCTAACTACTTCTTTATCCGAAATATGAGAGTTAATCTCAGTCGTTTGAGTACGATATGTTAAATACGAGGAAAACCACTGATTGACAATTCCTCGAAAGCCGTAATAATTAAGTTTATCAAGTAATATTTTATGGTCCACCGTGTCAAAAGCTTTCTTAAGGTCGATGAACACCCCACAAGAAAAAAGTCTTTTATCCATATTGGTACGGATGGATTCCACCATGTCAAGTATAGCATGTTCAGTTGAATGTGCTTGGCGAAAACCATCTTGGGAGGAGGATACTTGTTGGTGTTTTTGTATGGAAACTTTCATTCTGTTGTACATAATTTTCTTACAAATCCTGTTGAAGTTTTTCAGTAATGAAATCGGTCTATAATTGCAGGCATCTGTTTCATCATCAGCTTTGTAGACGGGTATAACTTTAAACATAATCAGTTTAGAGGGGTATGCCCCTAGACTGACAGACTTGTTGAGAAAATTTGCAAGGACAGGGGATATTATGTCACAAGAGCGTTTAAGAAGTTGTGTAGGACAAGAATAAAGGCCAGATGACTTATTGTTCGGTATGGATAAAATTTCAAGCTTCACTTCATGTGGAGTAACAGGTTTGAGGAAGAATGAGGTGTCAGGTGATTTGGAGTTACAGAGATAGTCCGTACAAGGATGCTTAGCTTCAGGCAGTTTGGTTGCTAAGTTATTACCAACAGATGAGAAATACTTATTTACAATGTTAGGTATACGCAATGGGTCATTGATAACACTATTATTGCTTTGTGGATCCTTAAGATTATTGATTGGCTTAAGGTTTCTTTGCCGACGATTGAGTAGCACATTTATAGCTTGCCATGTTTTCCGCATATCGTTTAAGTTGTTGATGAAGAGATGTAATTTCCACTATGAAAATTTGCATTTATCGCAAAGTTCTGTACTAAAGGCATCATCTTACTTCTAGTGCAGTACTGCATGAATTGCATCAACCTGGCACTTGATGACTGGTCAACAAATCTGGTTATCATCATCTTGGTTTCTTGTTATTGGTCACACAATCCATCTGGATATTTGAAACACTCTTTAACTGTGGCTGGTGTCAGCTCAACGGGTTTTAAGGTGAACACACTCAAACAGATATGGGTGCTCTGACATTACATAAAGGACAGCATGGGTAATCAGTCCCTTTTTCAGCTGATCCAACACCATTTTTCGTTTTGAAATGACCTCATACAAAACTATTGATTGGATTAGTTTCCCTTTTATAGACATCTGAGATAAAATATGACATTAACATCAATGTCCAA